GAAGTGAAACGCCGCCGGTGGGAACTACATTGGAATGATATACGTGCTCCTGAGGAAGAGGCAATTCCAAACTTTCACTTGAATGTAACCCGTCTCCATTCCATCGTTGAATCAAGAAACTACAGCCTAGGAGGAAAAACGTATTGATGATCCGCCCTACTTTTATAACGTGGGTGGATTAAATAGTTTTCGACGATGCTCACTATTTTTAATTAAAATTATACCTCAAAATTGACGAATTACGAAGTTAATTACTAACTGTAATTCTTAACTTCATAATATTAAAGCTGTTCTCTTTCTCTAAATTTTCCCTTGGACAGGAACCCTGAATTCAGCGTCAAGTAAAGCCGCCAAATGATTCTTTATCGGGAAAAGCCCGATTCACATGATGAGTTCGTGATTTCGCAGCTGCGCCGTTGAGAAGCGCAGCTTCCTCCACGCTTTTCCTGCCGCACGAGCCGCGTCGCATCTGCGAAATCCCAAGTATAATCGCAGCGTGCGAATCGAGCTTAAAGTGGTCGCTGTATGGTGTGCCGAAGAAGATTTCCGAATCTTCTAGGTTGAAAGACACTTGCGTTCAGAGCGACCAGAACGAGTAGGCACGAAGGCGACCGGTAGGAGCGAAGAGTTACCATGGCAACGAAGAGTCAAACTGGCGTATTTTTCACGACGCAAATAGTTCAGTAAAGCTGAACCTTTTTGATACTTTGGGGACGAGTGGAGCGACCGCAACGACAGATCAATTGTGGGTCCACGAGAGCTCGGCCGCGCGCGTTGCATGCCGGTCGTGGCTTATGCTATCTGCTAAGAAATATGGCGTCGGGGGTGATCGTCGGAACGGTCGGTCTGGTGGAAGCTCATCGTTCTTCGCGTAAAGCGCTATCCTCGACTGTGAATTCTCGTCGTGTTTCGCAATGGTAAACCAGCATATCACAGAAAAGAGAGCAGAAATGCTCGTGCCATTGAGATTGTGTAGCTCGACTACACTGGTTTTCTCTCTTTGTATTTCTGTCTTCGAACATCGCACGGATTTCTTATTTTGTGTACTTCATGCGTGTGCTCAAGTTGAAGGTATCACTAGTGCGTACTGTTTTGAAAGATGTGTTTGAACGATGCGTATTTTCAGGCTCTCTCATCGTCCAACCAACGTTATTGATGGTAGCCTTCCTGAACTTCCGCAACGTCCATGTCGTCCAGAAATTATATCTCTATGTTGCTGTATCACTGCTAAAGTTCCATAGTCTTCTGTAATTGTAAAAAAAGCGTGTGGTGAAATTTGTACAATAGTAAAGTCGTGTTTAATGTCGTGATCGTCCAAGGGGGCGTACTGCTTATTTTTCTTTCCTTTTTTTCATTTATTCAAATCTGCGAGCCGTATCCTGGTAATATAAAATAAAATAAACGTTCATTCTATAAAACAACTGCCTGTTCGATTGCTCTTACGCCAGTGAGTGGCACCGCGGAGACAGCTTATGGCGGAGGAGAGGCGGCCGTCACGATGACGACCGCCGTGACTGCCAGAGTTGCTCCACCTGTTGCAGCAGTGTGTACGTGCGGCGCAGAGCTGTCCTTGCAGTCGCTCTGATCACAGCGAATGCAGTCGTAGCTAGCACGCTCGTTGCAGATGTCTGAACCAGACTTATCAAGCAAACAGCAACAGTAAGAAATAGGGCCTTTGTCACAAGTACTTCCTTCATCTGGGATTGAACACCTGCGCCCATTTGTATGCTTTGGTGATGTGCAAAACGCAGGATGCGACGACTCACGAGCTTCGCCCGACGGGACGCTCGCTTGACGCGCTACGTAGCAGCCACTGTGCTGATGCCACGCGCAGAGCAAAAGCCGTCGGGCAAACTTCGACGATTTTTCGGAGCATATTCGCCCCATGGAGTCCATCCAGCCTTCAGAACCCGAATCTCATTAGGGTGACAAAAAAAAAAACAACCAAAACTGTCCAACCTCAAGACGTGCAGTATGCACGCGAAGGTGCCTTTGGCAGGCTTGCAGTCGCTCGGTGCTCCTGAAGCATGAGTGCACGACTGATCGCAAGTCTGCCGAATATACGTCATTCGCGTGCATAGTGCGCATGCTTGAGGTCAGTGGGTGCCGGTTGTTTCTGTTTGTCGCTTTATACTCTATTTCACTAATGTTTCACCTTATGATGTACCGCAGGAAAAACTAAGAGCGCGAATTCCTTGTTCTAGGGCACATCTCGGGTGACACGAGCTCTCGCGGATTAAGGGGCTGCAGCTGCCAACGCTATGAGCTCGCGCTTCTAGCCTTCGCTGCAGTACAACGAAAGGTGAAGCGGAGTATAGTGAGACTATACTCCGTTTCCTACTTAAGGTCTCTTTAGCTATGGGACCTTTCTAAATGCGGCGAATCAGTTTGCGATTCTCCCCACGTGGCATGTTCTCGCGAGTCACGACCCATGAGCGCGGGTTGATTCGCCGTTTGCAAAATGACCTGTGTTCAAGGTACCGTTAAGCTGGCCGTCTGCATGGAGTATATATCGGCGACACTGTGTCCAAAAATAAACTTATTATAAAACATGTCTTCATTGAAAGGGTATATATGCTCGATATTACGTCGAGTGTGGCAAAGCGACAGCCATCCCTGTTGACTCACATGCGCTAGTATATTCGCGGCGAGAAGTTTCGCCGCCTACCGGAATTTTTTTACAACCCAGAGTGAGGATACTTCAACTTCCTCTGCTGGTGCAAGCACGTGCAATGCCAAGCTTTTCTGCGCTATGAAAATTAAAACGTAACCGTGTGGGTAGCATGTGCACTGCCCATAGTGATGAAAGGACAAGCGCCTCTATTAGGCATGTACGCGACCAAAAGCGTCGCTGCGGTCAGCTTTCCACGATTGCCCAAACCATGGGCATATGAGCATTGTCAGGTTGTCAACTTTGACAATGTTAGTTTCGGATTTCGGTGGCTCCTAGCTTCCACTGTGCTTTTTAAACACACCACCGAACTCGTCGTCGCACCTTATGGTAAGTAGCCAGGATAACAACTGGTGACGCCACGGCGAGGCAAATTCCAGTCGTGACGCCACGGATAGAAACCATAAGAGAGCGCCACCGAAACACCTCGGCGCTAATAGCGAGCTTCTCATCGCAAAGACATCGCGTTTCACAAATAAAATCGAATCGGATTGTGTGTGGTACGTACACAATACATTGCTCTATAGGGTGCCTTCATGTGCGCTTGCTTAGGGTGGGGACATCTGGCCATTTTGTTCCCACTTTTACATTTATTTTTTGTTCAGAAGCGCGTGAAAGAGCGTGTCCCTGCACGCGTCTGTGGTGCTGACTGTGCTATGGCGACATTTTGTTTTCGTCGATTTCTTTGTATTTTCCCCCCGTGAGCGCGCGCTGTCGGCATCGGGTACTACAAAGGGTGGCATCACTCTAAACAGAAGGTCATTGAGGCACCCTATATTGTTCCAGGGTCGCGATGTATGGAGTTTCAGGCGGGGGAATGCCTAACGAGGAATGTCCTCGGCGGATTTGAATCGGCATTTAAGCGTTTTTTTTTTTTTTTTTGTATATTTTTGGGCGTGCAAGCGCACGTTCGCATCTACAGCACCCAAGGCGCGAACATAGAACGGTTTTGGGGATCGCTTGAATCCACCCAGAATATTCCACATAATGTATCAGGCAATCCTTATTCTCCTTTTTATGGGAGGGAATTACCCTTGTCGTTAGGCTTTCTTCCATTGCTGTTTGATTTCGAACTTAATGGCAACGACGGTACACTAATATCCGAATGACAGGGCTGGGCAAGGGGGCGACGGGATCGTAGTCTGCGAAAATCCGAAGCTATGTATTAAAAACCAGATATATTATTACTGCGGGACGGAGAAATAGTCTATGGTGTTCAAGAGCTGCGTTAATAACGTATCTCGATTGTTACCGGAACAGAAGAAGCATCTCTTAAAATCGTGAATCGGTGCAAAAATATAAGCCGGTGCTGGATGAATGAATACTAACAAATTGAGGCATGGTGCCCTAAAAGCGTAGTTCACCACCAAGCTTGGGTACACTGCGGGCAACGCAGCACAACAAAACGCAACGCGCATAAAATCTTTTTTTTCTTTTTCTTTTTTTGTTCTTTTTTTTACAAATTGTACACGACAATTGTTTTCTGTTTTGTTTTTTCTTGCGTCCTATTTTCGCTGCCTTTATCCGGTCGCATCAAACACCATAAAACTGAACCAACGACCCCAGTCATTAGAACAACATCCTGCCACCTCGGCGGCAGACCCCCCTAGGGCCCGCCATCTCATTTCTCACTTGGACGGAGGGCCCATACACAACCTAGAGAGAAAGAGAGAGAGACGGAGTTTGGAAAGGAAGAGATAGCCCTGTAGACTCACTCAGATGGGAGTCGTGCTAACTATCTTTGGTTGGGTGGGAGTAAAAGATCAGTAGAAAGAAATGAGATTAGATAGAGGTCGGGAAGGCGGCAGAGAACGGCGCTCTATTATTATACTCGGATTCACCTTAGGATAGACCGCAGCTGACGTTACGAACCAATCAAGCTTCTTCGAACCTGTCACGTGACTACATGCCCCGCGCGTCGCTGGGGGTCCCTCCCCGCAGATCCCGTGACACTCGCACGCCACTGGATTGACTTGGATTTGGCCCATAGCGTCCCCTGCGCTCTATGGTAAGGGGAAACGGAAGGCATAGCCACAGCGCCTATCCCAAAGTCTCGTTATCCAGGCGACGTTCCCGCAGCGGGCGTGACGATGCGGACGGCGTCCAATAGTTAGCAAAATCTCTCTTCTGTTCATTCCCCGACGCGCATCGCTGGAGCCCCCACAACAGAGAGAAGAAAACAGAGTCGGAAAGAAATCACGGGGCGCTCTTTGCCGACCAATAACGAATAGCGCGCGTCTGCCCCCCTCTATCGCAGCGAGAGAGAGGAAGAGACAGAGAGAGAGAGAGAGCAGTCCCTATAAAAAGCGCGCCGCATGGAGCGCCCCTCGAAAGCGCAACTCGCGATCGGTGCGCTACGCTCGCTGTGACTCGTGCGCTCATCCGGAACTTTTTTTTATATATAAGGGGTGTCAACAATAGCGCCGGACGGTCGGGGAAAAAGTGCTACTTCCGAAGAGAACAACAACAAAGCACGTGAAAGATGACGCTGCAGACTCGTCGCTGTGCCGGCAGTGCCTTGGTCGCCCTCGTCGTCGTCGCCGCCGCAGTTACCTTACCCATTGGTCACGGTTTCGTCCTCAAGGTGAGCTTGCGGTGGGCTGTTTCTTCTTTGACATTACCCTTCGGCTTGGCGTCGGTTAAAAATTTTAACCCGATTAATCACCACCATTTAATCGGTTAATTATTCGATTAATCGGTTTCGTTCATTCTAATAGCTTTAAAAAGTTGAAAATTTAATTTTAGCAGATTTAAATAAGCTTCTGTTGTATCAAAAGTCTGAAATTAGGCACGTAAAATCCTTTCTTTTAAACCCTGGTTCGCGTGACGCAATTTCATTTACGATTTCGTAGTTGCGAAGTCGCTCTTGTGGCTATGGTGAAATCGCAAGGAAAGTCGCACCATGTGGATCCGCTTAAATAAGTAGCATTAAGATCAGAACTCATTAGTTATACTTCGTCTCCAAGAGCTACGGGAGGAATTTTGCTGAGCGCACACTGCTAGAAAAAAGGGTTTATATATTCCTCCATAAAGGGAGGAACGTTCTTGTCCCTCATTTGTTAGCACAGAGGTTCGGTCTAGCTGGTTGGTCAAGATGTACAGAGGGAACAGCGCGCACGCAAACCAGTCACTCAAATCCACACACACAAAAGAAAGAGACACTTGCGCTGCGCTGACTAACAACTCTCTGGTATATTTACACTGCTTTCTGCTTTTCTTTTGTATTATGGACTATATTCCGTTTCACCTTATGTTGTACTGCAGCGAAGGCTAGAAGCGCGAGCTCATAGCGTTGGCAGCTGCCTTTAATGCACGAGAGCTTGTGCCGCCGAGATGTGCCCCATAGCAAGGAGCTCGCGCTTGTGGTCTTTCCTGCGGTACATCATAAGATGAGACAGAGTATGGGGCCTGTCTTTTCTTCTTTCAATAGCAAGCTAAATCGAAAACTAACTAAATTGAAATTAATGTAAGTCTAGGGAGTCTAGTCCTTTTTGTGATAAGGTTAAAGACGGAGTACCAACACATCTATCGTTATGTTTTGCGCTATTCTTTGCCTCAATGTTTTCTCTTGTTGGTTGTGGTGCTTGCCAAGAACGGCGCAGTTGCTCACCAGCACTGAGCAGGTACGGTCTCGACAGTGAATACCTAAATGTCCGCAGTCTTTGCTGGTGAATGTGTTTTTATGTTCACGAAGCCGATCGTTGAGACACCTTCCGGTCTGACCAATGTATAGTTTTCTACATGAGAGTTGAAAGGAGTACACCACCTTTTCTGTACATTGGAGAAAAGTGTTCTTATGCTTCTTTTTGCAGGCGACATTTACGTTTTTGCACAAGCTGCAAAGTCTGTTAGGAGCTGAGAAGATGACTTCCAAGTTAACTCAATTAGCTATTTTCTTCAGACCGTGAGAAAAATTATGAATATATGGCACAATGATGGGTTTCTTTGTTCTGTCTCCTTTTTTCCTCACACACTAAAGAAAAAAGCTAACCGAGTAAACTTGGAAGTCATCTTCTGAACTACTAACAAAGTTTGTGAAAAAAAAAAATGAATACTCCACCGATTACAACTGTCGGCTGCAAAAAGAAGCACCATAACACCTTTGTCCCTTGTACAGAGTGGGTGGTGTACTCCTTTCTCCTCTCTCGGGGCCAACATTCTGGGACATGCTGTTTTTGCTCCCGATTCTTACGAAACGTAGCGTATCAACCTTGAGCAAGATAAACAGAGAAATCGAAGCGCGCGACCGCATCACATTCGAAGCGCGCGACCGCTTCGCGTGTATGTGTATTGCTCAATGTATATGTTTCACCGTATGTTGTACCTCAGCGAAGGCTAGAAGCGCGAGCTCATGGCGTAGGCAGCTGCCCTTAATGCACGAGGGCTTGTACCGCCGAGATCCGCCCCAAAGCAAGGAGCTCGCGCTTGTAGTCTTTCCTGCGGTACATCATAAGGTGAAATAGAGTACAGTGGCATGCGTAATGTATCTACATGGTGGCGTCAGAGTAGCGTGAGCAAATAAAAATATTTTTGTAGCACATGAATTGGGCGGTACCTAGTGCCACTTAGCCTAGCTTAAACTGATATGTGACATATGAAACGGATATGAAATAATAAGTTTTAATATAAAAAGGGTGTCCAATAAATACATATGAATTATACAAGATATATAAGAACCATATAAGAACTATATAACATATATATGTACGTATAAGAACCACATAAAAAACTTGTGCGAAGTTTCTTATAAGTTTCTTTTATGGTTGTTATATATCTTGTATAGTTCTTATATTGCTCTTATATGTTCTTATATATCTTGTATGATTCATATGTGTTTACTGGACACTACAAATTTCTCAGCAAAAAAGGCTTTTTTACTAGGGCAAGCGCAGTAATCAAGAAGCTACGGATATTGTTCGCCACTTTTGGAGTGCCGAAAAGAGTTTGTTCCGACAACAGAGCCGCTTTCATTTGAGAAGAAATTACGACGTTCTATCGCTTGAATAATATCGTGGTAAAGCCTCTCTATCCTGGGAGAAGTGGCGCCACTCATTGTTGTGGAAATGCTCCAGACACGTGCCGCGCGCCACTTTTGGGATGAACATGGCGTGTGAAATCTAGCTCAGTGCTGCGCTGTGCCGGCATGATCTTTCCAAGGGCTGCACGTTGCACGAGCCTCGTGCATCGACGCACCTTGCGCTACTTTTAAAACATGAAGGGGCTTTATATCACGGCAATCACCAGCGCCCCCTACCACCCGGCCACCAATGTGCAGGCTAAGCGGATGGTGCGGGAGCTCAAGCAAGCTCTAACTAAAAAAGGAAAGGAAGACCTGCCAGGCGTATTGTCACGTTTTCTACTCAAACAACACACTTCAGTGCACGTGTCGACCGGCAAGACCCCTTCGTAGATGATGTACGGGTGGGAATTGCCTTCGGCCCTAAATCGACTGAAGTCATCACTTTTCAAGCAGTTCCCAGAATAAAATGTATATATCCACTACTTCATTCATGGACAACAGTTTGGATTCGACAGTTCCCAAACGAGTGGAAGTGGGTGCCGGGCATCAGAGCACGCCGCGCGGGACCGCCATCTTGGATTGTCGACACCGAGCGGGGTCAAATCAGGCAGAATTTGAATCATAATCGACATCGCGCTTCGAATACGAGCTGTTGGAAGATTCAACCGCCACAACAAGTTTGGGACAGGTCCCAAGAAGATCGCCATGGCATGCATTCGGGCGTGATCGGTCCAGACCAAGCACAAACTAGACAGCACTAAACAGACGATGACGTTCACCCTGTGTGCCCTTCGCCGTCAGTGGGATCCTCCGCGTCACCTGCGACGCGGCTGAGCTCCCGGGCGCGTCGAGCACCAGTCAGATACGGTGACTACGTCTAAGGAGGACGGAGTGTGATGTATATGCCGGGACACAGCTGGCGGGCAAGCCTGCGAGCGCTACGAGCTACCGCGTGCTTTTGGTTTCGAGACTGGGAGCGCTCTCGTGACCATATAAACCGACCGAGTCACAGGCTTTCAACTGACTGTGTCGTTATTTGCCTAGCTAAGGCTGCAAAACTAGCTAGGGCTATATAAAACCTTGAATGTCTCTAATATTCTACTGAAGAAACAGAGGCACGTCTATTTTACATTACAGGGGCCCTAAAACATTGTTTATGAAGTTTACCAACTGTAGGGTGTGCAGTGAAGCCGAGAGGGACTGTAGGGAGAATAGTGGGGAGTACTAGATAGGGAGGTGGGGAATCGGTGGTCGAGTGGTCTAGGGCACATCAGCTCGGAGCACGTAGAGCGAAATCTCGAGCTGAGGAACCCAGGAGTTGCATGCAGATAATGGTTTCTGCTCTGAGTTAACGTTGTAGCATGGGTGTGAAATTTAGTTTAGTGCAAGTGAACAATCAAGAAAAAGACATGCTCATTTTGTCTCCTTCCGCAAATCCATTCGACAAACTTATCAGGGAGATGTCATTCGATAAATGTGATGCTTAGTGGTAAACAGCTAGCGAAAAAATACAGTAATGAAGCAACACGTCAAAGATTGTCTAAATGTGTGTGAACTGTAAGATGTAGAAGGTGTCTCATAGATCAGGGAGGGTGTTCAACAGCTCTATGACCAATTCTGTTCTAAACAGTAATTTGACAATGTTAAGATGACTTGAGAGGTTGAAGCGCCTGGCAGCACCAATCTGTAGGAAGCATTACTGATTTTCCATATTTATTTTGCATACACAAGGGACAAGTACACATCATATACTTTCAACAAAAACGAGTAATTCAGCACAGACAAGACAAAACTGGGAAAAACTGTAAGTATCCATACAGGAAGCCTACTTTACATATACGGGGTCAAGAGCTTGCATCAGTAAACGTACTTGCAGAGCAGAGATGCTTGCTCAAGGTTTTCACGTCAGAAGCTCTGGAACAGCTAGGGTAAACGGGGAAACCCACCTGATAGTTTATGCAGTAAACTGCTTTGGACGTTCTGATAACTGTCTGCATAATCGCCCCCCGGTTCTTGATTCACACGAGCGTGAACCCGGTTACTTCAGGGAGACGGATGATTTCGGGAGCGCCAGGAAAGTCAACGGGTACGAGCCGTCGGAGCGACGGATGTCTTGCGGTGAGACGCGTCACTCTCCCGATTGCACGGCAGCCGTCAGTTGTGAAAGGTCGACAGATAAAAATATTTTGCCCAGCGAAAAATGGCAGCGTGACGAGCAACAGCTTTAGTATCGGCGGGAGCCGCCTGTTGTCGTCGTTCGGATCACTCGGTCAAGCTGCGGCCGAACAGCTACCGCGCCGTTGTCGTTCCTTACTACACATCCCGGTGGGATGCATTCGATCACATAAAGATGACCGCTTCTCTTGGCGAAAAATACCCATCACCGAAGGCAACGCCGCAAGTGAAGGGGACACATGTCGAACGCGGCGATCCCATGTGCGAAATCACATCGTCAAGCCGCCAAGTTGAACTGACTACGAAGTCGCGTTCAACGTAGTTCAAACCCAGTCTTCGAATTTTGGCCCTTCACGTTCGCTTGAAGCTCGGTTCAATGTCGTCTCAAG